CGCCTGCATACACGTCAGCACTGTTAGGGAAAATGCCCTAGGAATGTCATACTTACCGTACAGAGCCTTCGGTTGTGATGGCATCACTTTAGAGTGAAATCTCTGCAATTGATTGATCCGAATCTCATTCCTAACCATTGAAGATGTAGATGCCATCAGATTGGAAGTTCATTGAAGAAGAGAATGTGGAAAAGGTCAAAGTCTTTTCACGGCAGAAGAGAAATAAGAGTTTTTCGTGAGCAGCAAAATCTCCCTCATCCTAGCGACCGTATTAATAGGCAGAAGGGCCGACAGGTGGCAAGATCATAGTGGTCGACTCAACTGCTAACTAATGGCCAGGATCGTTTCTAGAATATGAGGCAACCTCTCCAGAACTGAAGCGCCCCTCACCATGATTAGCCCACAATCCTCACTCGAGAATTGAGGTTGCGGCTGTGCAAGATAGTTCTAGTTCACTCGGACTCATCCACCCCGAGTTCAAGCAAAAGGGACTAGTGTCATGTCAACAGTTCACCTAAGTGCTAGTCCTCCTCTTAGAGTCAACACGTGTCCCATATCAGCACTAATCATCAGATCAACTCACCCCAGCCAAGGACGATTTGGATAGTATGAGCACTTGCCCACTTCCAAGTAAGGCCGAGTCGAGACAATCTCTCTCTTGACTTCCTCCTTTGGCTCAACCCTGCTCACATAACATGAGACTGGGTCGACAACTTGTGAGGCCGACAAAAAAGGTAGTACTTATCGACCCACTCGTAGAGCCAATTTGAGAGGTTGTTGGTCCTTAAATCCCTCGTCAATAGCTGGCCATCACCATCACATCACATGCCATGAGTCTCCATGACTTATCACCTTAGCACTACAGCCTCTCAATCACCATCACGTCAAACTTAGTGATGACTCATCCCACCTGCAGTAGGCACATGTAGGCTATCGGCTGATTCACTTGCCTGCGTGGACTCGGCTAAAGTGACGTATCTACCCTTCTAAGCTGAGTATGTATAAGCTCATTGCCTATTAGCAAACTAGAGGAGTCCCTCAGGGGGAGGAGCCCCTCGGGGCCATAGGCAAGCCCTTTCTAGATAATTAATGCAATCTCTATAACTTAACTTATTTAGTTCATTGATTACCCACTCAAGGTTTACACTAACTCGATTGTTAGAGGGATCACCGAAAAACCCAACTCCGGTTCTCTAACATGCTTATTTTATAGTTCTGTTATCTTAACTGGGGATCGATCATCTAAAGGAGATGAGAGGACCCCTACATTGTCCATATGGACCCTAAGCCTGTCACTGGTTCGGAATTATACTCTAACCCCGCTGCCGAGTCCCCGGACATCAACAAAAAGATTATCCAATCGTTTTTGATTCATATTCTAAATTGTTGACTTTGCTTTCAAACATACCTAGCCAACTAAAAAATGATTAAATCAAGCAATCTCATTGGTTTTAGAAATTTAGGTACATTTTTAAGTGAGTTTTTTTAGAAACCACCTTAAAATAGAGTAATTATACAAAAACCACCTTTTATTTTTAATGTATACATCAACCACCTTTAAAAGTAGATTTATGCTGCAATCAACCACCTCTTGATCAAATTTTCACTAATTATTGAAAATTAAGCTTAAAATTCAAGTTCAAGATACCTTAGTTGTATCCTAACAAGACTTAAACACTAAAACAATGAGTTACATAGCTTGAATGCAAGTATTTAAGGGTACTTTTGGATTTTAGTGAAAATTTTGACTGGGAGGTAATTGGTTACAACAATCAACTATGAAAATAGTTTATGTATACATTAAAAATAAAAGATGATTTTAGTATAATTATCCTATTTTAAGGTGGTTTCTAGGAAAAAAATCATTTATACGTATAACTTTTTTTAACGTATGTACGTACCTTTGGGATCCTTTTTTATGGTAGCTTTGAGGTCTTTAATGGGTAGATTACACTAAACTCCCAAGAACTTTTAGTGTGTTTTTAGTAAATCCCCATAAACATTCAAAATCACACTAAAACCAACAATAACTTTTGCAGAAAACCCCCATGAACGTTTAGGTAAATTATGTTGGATAAATTTATCAAATAATTAAGATTATAGCATGCAGATAAAACCGAAAAATTAAAAACAATTAAAACTGGCCTGAACGGGAGCAGTCGTGTATTCACTGCCCTAGAAGATTGAGAACCCGCCTATCGCCCTGGCGCAGATGGTTCCCTCCCCCTAGCGGTAAAAACCCCCGGAAACGGCCGGTCTCTACACTCGGGCGAGAGTGCAGAGCTTCAACTCAGATGAAGGAAGTTGCCCATAAAATAAAACTAAGATGTAGATGAAAATAATATGTAGGGGAGAGAAAAAACAAGAGAAACTTGTTGTATATTTTCCTTATCATTTTTAGCTCAACATATGGATATATAAATAGGGTTGGAAAAGACGTTACAAAACCCGTAATTAATTCTGTAACGTTCGTCATAAATTTTGTAACGTTCCCCATAATTATATAGCCGTTACACATATTTTTAATTGCTAATTAAAACATGTTTTAATTATAAAACTTTATTACTATTCATGAAGGCAAAATTGTCTTTTCTTAACAAAATATCTAACAATATTCTCACGCAAAAATTGGAGAGAACATTTTTTTCAACTTCAACTTTTTCAGGGTGGAATTTCACTTGTTTTTGTGTGAGAGAAGGATGATGTTAATTTTGGGTGTAAAAACAGTAAGAGAAGCAAAAAAGTTTCTCTTTTCTCAAAAGACGAAGTGGAAACTAAAGAGTGGAGAAAACTAGAGTTTGAGGGCAAGACAAACAATTAAAACTGGCCTGAACGGGAGCAGTCGTGTATTCACTGCCCTAGAAGATTGAGAACCCGCCTATCGCCCTGGCGCAGATGGTTCCCTCCCCCTAGCGGTAAAAACCCCCGAAAACGGCCGGCCTCTACACTCGGGCGAGAGTGCAGAGCTTCAGCTCAGATAAAGGAAGTTGCTCATAAAATAAAACTAAGATGTAGATAAAAATAATATGTAGGGGAGAGAAGAAAAACAAGAGAAACTTGTTGTATATTTTTCCTTATCATTTTGAGCTCAACATACGGATATATATATATAGGGTTGGAAAAGACGTTACAAAACCCATAATTATTTCTGTTACGTTCGTCATAAATTTTGTAACGTTCCCCATAATTATATATCCGTTACACATATTTTTAATTGCATGTTTTAATTACAATATTTATTATAATTCATGAAGGCAAAATTGCCTTTTGTTAACAAAAATATCTAACAAATTACACTAAACCCCCATGAACTTTCAAATTTTATGTTGTTTTTTTGTTCTAATTTATGCGGGATATCTACGAAAATCAGAATGCTCATGGGGGTTTAGTGTGATTTTGAAAGTTCATGAGGGTCTACTGTACGAAAATGAAAGGTCATGGGGGTTTAGTGTAATTTACACATCTTTACCACTTGGGAGATTATCTAACAATTTTTTTGATAGGCATCTTTTTTTTTTTTTTTTTAATTTATGTCTCAAATCAGATGAACATGCATTAATCTATTATCTATTCTTGTAACCATTCTCTTTTACCCAGCCAAAAACTCATGGAAAAGACGAACTCTTCAAAATTTATGTTTCTTCTTTCTATTCCTTAAAAAATTGATAGAAATTTTATCAAAATATACGGCAACGAGCAGAATGTTCAGACAAGCTTTGTGTACCTAGAAATTCCAATCATATAGAGTGAGGAGACTCTCTCCACCCTCTATTATTGCCCGCACGTACGTGCTTGTTGTTTCACGTGGGAAAGGCTACTCCTACTCGTAGTAAGTGATTCTTTGAACTTTGTTGCCAAGAGATGCCATGAAGCATGATGAGGATCTGTGGGAACGAGTCCAAAACATGGACATGACATGTCTCCCTTATTACAAACTTATTTGGACTCTTTAGCCGACCCCTGAGAAAAATATTTGGCCTCAAAAATGGAATTGTATTGTTGCCTAGCAAACTAAGGGCTTGTTTGGATTGAGGGGAATAAGGGTAAAGGGAAGTTAGGGGAACCATTCATCTTGTTTGAGAACATTTAGAAGGTAAAATTATTCACCCTAGTTCCCCTTGGTTCACCCCCTAATAGTATAAATTTGTTACCCCCCAAATTAGGGTGTGACCAAGGGGAAGGAACTTCCTTCCCTTCCCTTTCATTCTCTCACCTAGTTTCTCTTAACTTCACTTAACCACATTGAAATCCAAACGCACCTAAGTTTAGTCTAACAGAGTATAACGATTCCATAGGGAGTACAGTTGTACATTGAAATAGAGTGGCACTAGGGGCACACCTTCAACCACACCTCCAACCACACCCCCTCTCTCATTTGCTACAGTGCACCGAGCCCTCCATAAGATTTTAAAATTTTAAAATCTCATGTAGAGTCCGGTGCACTGTAACAAATGAGAGAGGGGGTGTGGTTGGAGGTATGATTGGGGGTGTGCCCCTATCATTTTCCATTGAAATAAGTTACGATTACCATCTTAGTAGGTATGATGAGTAAACAATTGTTTTCTTGTTCTTGATGAGAAAGGCATTTATTCTGGTTCATCGGTAAGGATGACCGTAATCAATTCCTCTTGTGCTATATTTCTGTACTTTGGTAGCCGAGCCCTTCGATTGTCTAAGCCTATCAGAACCATGACTTTAGCAAGACGGCACGATATTCGACATTTCATGATATTTGATAGCTTCACCTTCAATTTGTCCTACTACACTTAACTAACATGCATTGGGCAAATTTTAGTTGCAGATTCGTGACAGTTCACGGAATTATAGTTTCATGCATCTCCGATTTATTTTCAATGTTTGCACTCTTATCACCAGACCACGTTTTGATAACATCAAGACAAGTTTCTCTTATTGGCTTTATAAGAAATTAAAAAAGTAGCTAGGGTGGAAGTATCATGATGATCAGTTATTGTATAAATTCCTCTTCATCTCAAACAACGTATTTAAGAGAGTCCAAGCCACAAACAAGCAGCAACAACAGCAGGCAAACTCGTTAGACATGCCCATATCCACAATATTCTCTATATTATTACTGATATTATCATCCTCTATTACTTGTAATGCAACAATTGCTGATGATGAGAAAGACTGCGCTGACCAGCTGCAGAATCTTGCAGCATGCATCCCTTACGTGAGCGGCGCAGCGAAGAAGCCTACACCTGAATGCTGCGCCGATGCTGAGAAGGTCCGAAGCAGCAAGCCAAAGTGTCTGTGTGTGTTGATAGTGGAGAGCGCTGATCCTTCACTTGCGCTCCCCATCAATACAACATTGGCATTGCGGATGCCTGCTGCTTGCGATAGTGACGCTAAGGTCTCTGACTGCCCGGGTAATGGACTTAATTCTATTTGCTTGTGTCATGTGTTAGATGATTGGTGGAGGATTTTTTTTTAATGCAATTTTGTATTGTTAGGTGAGGGTGTTATCTACAATTTCGTCCCTCACGTACAACTCCAGCAGCGTTTACCATCTCTCAACTCGTTAAATAGCTCCTCCAGTTTATCCTTGACGAAACCTAGGAGTGATAAACACTAGGGTAAACTGCGGATAGGCATCCTAAGTTATCGCCCAATTGTGAAGAGACCCTCTGCAGTTCAATTGTTGTAGATAAACCCCATGAGTGAAATTCTTTATTTATTTATTTATTTTTGATCTCTTTTATCCTCAAGATGTTTGTTTATCCCAAAAATAAGAAAAAAAAAAGACTCTTTTAAGGAAAAAGAGTAACAAAAAGGTTGCAGTCTGGTATTCTCCTTGCAACAGCAGCACTACACGATGAATATCTGCAATTGGGCAATAACACATGCTATCAGCAATTAACCCAGAATACTAATAAAAGAGTTGATGAAATGATGAAGTATTATTGAATATTTCTGCAATTTATCCTCGTGCTAAAATCTCTGTTTTGTGGGTTTTTGAAGATATCTTGAAGCTTTCTCATGACTCACAAGATGCAAAGATTTTCAAGGATCCGAGTGGTGACTCCTCAAGGGCGATAGCACCAGCTTCCTCTTATACTGCTGCTGCTTCTTCTAATTCAACTCCAGCCTCTGCTGATGCTAAAATTGCTTCGAAGAACAATGCCGGGAGATTACAGAGTGTCTTTCTATTAACGGTATCAATTGCATCAACGTCATGTAACCTTCTGTTCTACTGATGCACGAGACAGCAGTTAGAAAGCCTTGGTGTTTTGTAATAAATTTGGAAGCCTTGAATTGTAATAAACGCCTGTTTTCTTCTTCTTCTGTCAAGTAATAGAAAAATAATGCACAACAGGGTCAAGGGAAAGAATGTTGCTTGACAAAACATCAAGGATCTTCAAATATAACAACAGAATTGCAATAAGAAGGAACCTATGAAACTGATCACATTTCAGTCAATATATTCAAAAAATCTCAAAACGTTCTTCAACTCTTCGACACACGTCAAAACTTCAGTATCTAAAATGTTCGAGTATCCACACGTGTAAACGAGCTGGAAACAAGCGTCTGACAATGCTGCCAAAAGCCCATTACCTTATGCAAACATATAATTGCCTCCAAATAATGCAGCTATGGTGAATAGTACCGACTATAATAACTTGCAAAACAAAACCATTTCAACATCCACTCCCCCACTGGCAAAGGCATCCTGTGATAAAACATTGGTTGTGGCATCTATACATGAAACTAGAAGCCACTCAGCAACCCCATACAAAAAAATTCCGAGTGAAAGACTAAATCACCAATCTTTACCTACCCTTTACATAGATACACAATTTAAAGGGGTCATGCTCAGAAACCAATTGCCCCAGTTTAACTTACTGTTGCGGTTCTGACCCACTTGCAACCCTCCTTTCATTATGGCGTCGGTCTGAGTTAGAGCTTGGTGTTGAGCTAGCATTCCCCACCTCAGATTTGCATAGAGGACAAAGGGCATTTATCTTGAGCCATTTATCCACACATTCCACATGGAAGAAGTGGGTACATGGAAGCTCACGAAGGTCGTCGTCATCCAAATATTTGGCCAGGCAAATGCAACAAACCTGTAAAAACGTAACATCTTAGTTTCTTGGTGATATTATTGCCTACTTAAGGCACACTCTTTTAAATTTAAGAAGCTGAATGTCAGTTTGGTCTAATACAAAAAAAGACGATTAATCCCACACTTCAAATGTAGTCAACCAAATGAATATCCGTAATGTCGTCAAAATCCAACCAGATTAAATGATTAGACCCATTGACCAGAATCCACGCTAAAGCTGTCTAGATTCATGAATTGCCCAGAACTCCAAAAAAGTCCCAGATGACCCAGATGGCAGTGAATAATGTGATCTGAACAAACTAGATGATCAGGTGAATTCAACATATCAACAAAAGACCTATTTCTGATGGGAAATTGCTTGCAGAGTCTTATCCTGAAGTGAATCTAATCATTTTATTCAGTAAATGAGAGTTATTGCTACTGTGGCTTTCAAAGTTTCTGGATACCTAGGTTTAATTAGTTTCAACTTTGAAGTGTGAATGTTTTCAAGTTATTGCAGGACTCCAATAAGATACTCGCATCTATGACACCTAAAATATCAGAATTCAATTGAAAAAGTATTTTAACAGGAATCAGCAATAATTGAATTCCCCGAAATTGGCATGACCACATACGACAAAATATTCTGGAAGTGCATTGACCTACATGCTTGACGGAAAATTATTCAATATTAGCTAAAGTATAATCCACAAGCTTTTAGTAGTTATCAATCACTAGAACCATTACAAAAAATCTGAAATCATGTTGATCATCCTAGTATGAGTTCAATAATGCTTGAAGTGAAAGATATCAGGATGTCAAGAAAAACTTTATAACGTCAACGTTCAAACCAAAATTTTTGGAAGGTATCTTGTGGAGCTGGGTGCTTAGTGATCTCCAATAAATGGAACCCAACCTAACCTAACCCAAACCTTACAAGGAAAGAAATTTATATGTATCAGAGCTCCAACCAAAGCTCACCAGGTTTGATTGAGTTTGATTGAGATGTTACATTGCTCCAACCCATTTACTACCATAATAACTGAATATGTATAAGGTCGCGTCTTATAACTGATATGGGTATGGTAAGATGTACTTGAATGCATATAGGAAACTCACAGCATCTTCAGCAGAGATAGCCCGCTCCTTTTCAGTACCCGCAGCCAAGATCCCTCCCTCACCTTGGCTCTCCCAGTTAATGTCATTCTCTTCTGAACTTTCCCTTTTCTTCGACTTGTACTTATAAGTTGGTAACACATTAATTGCTTCAGTGGTAGCCCCTCTGTTCTGACCCAAATCCTCTCTGAAGCCCATAATGGAAATTATGCATGGCAAGCAGCAGCATATCATTGCACACAGAATGAACGGCATGGCATAACCAATACAGCTGAAGGTGAGGAACACTATACATAACCTGAGAAGTACATGAGAAGGAAAATTATTGTTAATGGTGGAATAAGATCTGAATTGAAGAACATGGAAACAACATATATTAATACCTGTACAAGTTAGGAGCTTCAGAAGCAGAGGAGTGCCCACCAAACACCCAGACATTTCCAACAACAAACCACACGGCAAAAAAGCAGTCCAAAGCCATTTTGAAGTGATCAACAAATGCATTAAGCCTGTAAAGCCAAATATTCTCTTAAGCAAAAACATCATGCATAAAACAATGTGGAAGATAGAAATTCAGAGCAGATAATAAGCGTTGATAATACTGGGTGCACAAGAAGTAGCAAAGGAACAACAACAACACGAGAAGAAGAAAGCTTTTATTCACAAGCTTGACATTGCATACAATATAATCCTTTTTCACCATTCAGCTCCATTAGAATCACATTTTCCGGCAATATATTAGCAACATCCTACTTTTAATTCTGACACCTTAAGCCATGTTTATTTTGGTCCTACTTCTAGTCCTAGCTGATCTATGAGAGCAACCTACTTGTCCACTTGAGAGGTATAAATATCTACCCAATTTTTTATGGGCTTTAGAGGCAAGTGGCAAAAGACAAAAAATCAAATGCTGAGTATAGAAGAGGGGGAAACTGATAAACTTCATGACCCTATGTATTGAATTCACTCTAATGCATGCTATAATAAACCAAAAAAGAAACAAAAACCATTCACAGCACTGATGCAGAAGGGGGTGATTCTTAGTCGTAAAAAGTAGACAAAAAAGGGTATTGTTCCTTCGTAATCTTCTTCAGTCGAACTAAATAAGCCATGCTCTAGCTCTTCACTGACTTCTACAGCTATCTGCTATCGAGTTAAGACCCCATGATCTGATTATCTTGAATACTAGTTCTTCTCATAATCTCAAAATCTAAGTCCAGGTAAAGACATGAGAATATGAACTGATCTGTTCTATTCTACTGTTTTGTAAAAGAAATCATAATTGACTGGCTTTTTTTTGTTTAGTTAATGGTGAACAATGATGCGCTTGGCACATACAAGAGTCCAACTTCATAAACGAAGTCTGAGCCCCCTGAATCAAATGCCCTTCAACACATTCATCAGAAACCACTTCAATTTTGTGCAAACAAAAAAAGGATGTGACATGCATTTATCTTCACATCTCCAATTCAAGTAAAACACAAAAGAAAGCTACCTGCCACAGGCTGTCAATAAATCCAAACACTTAAAACCTCCACAAGTTCCATATATCTTACAAAATAACATAACTTCTAATGGAAGCATTTTACATAAACCAAGGGCACACACTTACACAGTCACTAACGAGTTCATTGTACTTCCTCCATCTCCTGATTAATAGCTTTTCTAAGTTCACCTTGGCTGCCTTCACTTTCTCAGGGTCAGGAGGATTGTATGCCCATTGACTTCCGTATAGCCAACTGTATTCAGAGGCTTACTTTGATCCAAGGCAAGGTTATGGAAAACACTAGATGGCCTAGGAGTCGGACCCGATGCCCAGAGCCTAGGCAAAGCCCAAGCGTTTTTCTTTTTTTTTATTTTTTAATTATAATCAATATTATCAAAAGTTCTAGGCACTGCTAGGTGCTAACCTTGCACCTAGCGCCTAGGTGCTAGGCCTAGGAGGATTTCTTAATGTTGAAGTGGTAACGGAGGAGGTTTTGCTTAAGGTCAGAGGAGTTGGAGGAGGCATTCGTAGTCAGTGGAGGCAAGAGGAGTTCTGAGAAGGTTAAGTATGTGGAGGCAACAACAAAGGAAATTACGACCAAGACCTAATGGTGCAATCCTTGTAAGTGGTCTACACTCCCCTAGGCGCTCTCAATACCTAGGCGAGTGGAGCCTAGGCGGCATTGGTACTGCTAGGCATGCTAGGCAGGATCTTTTTAAAACATTGATCCAGGGGTAAAGTGCCATTCATTTATGGCCATGAGTTTATAACCATGTTATCTAGGAAAACCATCAAGATAAACGACTCTCATCCATTAACTAATTGTAAGCATTTATTCTCTAACAAAAATGAGCATAGAATGTTGAATTTTATAAATATTCCTTAGAAAGAAAAAAAGAGTATGCAGCCCTAGGAAAAACGAAGCAACTCAGTTAATCAATTACTACAACAAATATGAGACATAAGAAGAAAGCAATAGGTGCTCTTCAATGTGCATTTTGTTGGGAAGAACATTATCTGTGTCTAACTAATAAGAATTCGATCAGCTCATTAGCAAAATAGGTACAAGTACTTACTTCTTCGCTTCCCCCTTTGGTATTCCCTAAGACTGCAGTATGTTTGCACCCATTCTTAACTACATTTAGGACGCCAAATTAAGATCATAGCACATTTTATTGGAGCATTGCAAACATCCAATTTTCTTGCTTTATAAAGGATGTATCAATATTACTCAAGAGGCAAGAACTAGTTCATAGACAAGAAAATTTTAAGTAATCTAGGTCCTAAGGGACCACAACTCAATTATAAGATTATTACCACAAATTTCATAGATACACCCATCTTTCTCTAAGTTTCATAGATACTAATGCAGTGCTGCAAATACTATATCCTTGATTTGTTGGATAAGGAAGAAATACATACCTTGGACTTACTAAATTCCTTCCAAGCCGTGAGACTGCCGTTGTGCTGGGATTGTGTTCTTCCGCAGCTTGATTTACTAAAATGGCAGTGTAAGGTGCAGATTCAGGAGGGCTGTTTTGGGAAGAACTTTGACGTAAACGCGGAGAGTCCTGATCCAATCCTTGATTATTGCGATGGATATAACGCCAGTAGAGATGTGGAAGGGTAGCAAAACAGCCAGCCGTATATCCTACTATCCATGCAAATAATGGAGCTTGTGGATTTTCATGTCCTGACAATGAGAGGACGACAATAGCTGCTATAATTTGGCTGACATTAACGGCAAGCTCAATTGAAATCCATAAACCTGAATTCAAAGGGCTTCTATGACGACGACCATAATTATCCCCTCTCCTTGAGAGGGATACATTTCTAGATGGCGATGGTGAAGATGACTGCATAACAGGAATTTGTGCGACAGTTGAAGGTCTATTCTCATCGTGTAGTTCACCTGAACCATTGTGATCAACTCCATGTGACACTGGCACAGAAGCAATACCTCCCCTTCCTATGTCAATAACATGTTCCTCAGCATTGCCAATTCCATTCCCTGATCGCTCCATCAACAAAGGGTGACTATCGTTTTGAGCTTCACTTTGTCTTTCCAGTGAGGGAACAACAGCCATCAAAGTCTCCCAACAGAGCTGAAAGCATAGAGAAGAAAACGAAGTTTCCACTTCCCTAATCTTCTCTACCCTTCGTTCAGAAGGCTTAAGTAGTAGTTTTATATGAAAATTTGCAAATCACACACTAACACACTGACAGTGAATAATAAAGTGATCGATGATAAGCTTAAGATCCCTTTTTTCCTTTCCTTCTATAACTCGAGATAAACCCTCATAACTTCAACCTACAAAAGCAAAAGATTCACTTCATTTCATTGGTGGAGGAACGACGTAATAATGACAGTGCATGGAGATTAAACAATAGGATAAAATGGTACTCTATAAATTCCTTGCTAATCATTACAAAAAAAAAAAAAAAAACAGTGTGAGCCGAAGTGAGAAATCCCTAAAGGAACCAAGGACGTTCACATTTAATCAAATGATGACGTACATTCACAGACCACTTACCAGTGATCAAAACGCAAAGAATGTACATTTTTAAAGAACAGTGTCAGTAGATCTTCCAGACCAATAAATTTAGGATATCATTCTTCGAAGATTTTTAGTGTAGATATCAAATAGTTCACTTCAGTAACATCAAAAATTGGGGGAAAACACTCACCAAATTCAATGTTAAAGCTTCACATTGAAGAGATTTCCCCATTATAAGTAAATCCCTGCAAAATAAAAGGAAACTAATTCAGTAGTCAAACAGAACAATTGTAAATCCTACCAAATAAAAAAGTAACAGCTAATTCATCAAAGATACATCAAAAACCGTAAAAATCCCCAGACAAACAAATTCATTTCTAATTTCAGCTCATCATCCCCAGTTTTAAAACCCTAGAATCCACGATAATGCTAACCGAAAAATCCTTTCCATACAACACGATCAAGAGGTTAAGGCACCGATAATCTCGACTCTATCCCCAAAAAGGAAAAAAAATCCTAGATCGGAACAGTAATTGGGGGGTTTCATTAGAAGAAGAAGAAGAAGAAGAAACGCGTACCAAAATCGTGAGTGAAATCTTCAGGTCTTCCCCATTAATTTTCCACCCTTCCCCCTTTTTTCCCTTTTTATTCCCAAATTTTCTATTTTTTGTTAATGGATAGTGCTTTTTGATTTCTCCGCTGCTTGGAGAGTAAATTTGGAATATTAGGTGAGAGATACAAAGCGAGCTGGATGCGAACGGAAGCATTTCGCACCCAAATTTACGCTTGTCTGAGTGTGGGTCCCAAGTTAATTGGGTGACTTTTATGTTAGTTTTTTTTTTTGATCAAAGAGACTTTTATGCTAGTTTTGAACTTTTTTTTAACTTTGGTTCATTGTTTACCCATTCTTTTCGGTATAGTTTCCTCTTGGCCTTCGTTTTCTAAATACCTATTTTTCTTTACTTTTTGATGTTTCTTTCACGTTCTTAAAAAAGTGTATTCTTTGTGTTTGTTTCGTCAAAAAACATAGGGAATAATTACTTTTTATCATTTTTTTAGTTTGGTTCAATTGAAAAAGATAAAAAAACAGTTGATGTGCGGGCCGGACCTGGCTCCGGGTCCCCTCGCTGGCGCCTGGCCCGAACCCGGCCCGGCTCGGACCCGGCCCGGCCCGAAACGGTCGGGCAAATGAAACCGGGCCGCGTGCGACCCAACCAACGCCAGCCCGGCGCGCTGCGCGCAAACGGTCACCCTTGGTGCACGCTTGGCGAGCAAAAATCCGAAGCGCGACCCGGCCCGACAAAAACGATCACCTTTTTAGGCCCGGCCCGGTCAAAACAGTCATTTTTTACGTTTTGACCATTTTGCCTCTTAAAACGGTCAAAAAACGACTATTTAGTGAGGGTTTTTTGGTCATTTGCCTAGGAGACTTCCTCTATAAATAGATGGGGGTTTTCACTTCTTCTCCTTACGTCAAAACTCATCTACTTCTCTCTAATACTCTCTTATACAATCTTATACTCTTTTATACTTTCTAATTCTTTCATCAAATGGCTTCTGGATCTGATTATGAAGAGCAAAATCTATCTCCTACCGATATTGAAATGAGTTCCCTACAACAGCTACTCCTCCTACCAGTGGTAATCCCGAATTCGGTGGTGACGAATCTGTACCAAGAGCTCCTAAAAGTCCGAGATCCGATACGTGGAATTTTTTTGAGAAGATAGACGTTACCAAGGATGAACACGGTAGGATCCTCACCTAGAAGGCTAAATGTGCGTTGTGCGGCCAGACTTTCCAAGCTTATCATAAGAGCGGCACCAACCACCTCAAACGTCATATAGAAAAACACAACAAATGCCAGACTCCTTAAGGTGATATCCGACAATCTATGATTTCTCAATCATCCTCTTCTGGTAGTCTCGGTACTTGGAATTATGACGCTGCCCGAGTCAGGAAATGCGTCATCAGGTTTATCATTCTTAAAAATCTTTCTTTTAAATTAGTAGAAGATGATGAATTTGAAGATTTCTTTAGAGATGGTTTTTATCCCGATTTTAAAAAAATTCTCGTCAAACCTGTCAACGTGACATTTTAAAACATTATCAAACGGAATAAGGAAAAATAATTTCTTATTTTAAAAATTTAAGCTGTAAACTTTCTTTAACTTCTGATATTTGGACATCTAGAACACAAACAGGTTATTTATGTATCACAGCACACTAGATTGATGAAAATTGACAAATGTTTAAAAGAGTTGTTTCTTTTATTATAATTAAAGAGTCACATACTAGTATTAATGTAGCCAATTTAATAGTTGAAGAACTTATGAAACTAGAAATTGATCAAAGAATATTTTTTCTTTCACTAGATAATGCAAGTAATAACAATTTAGCCGTAGATTTTCTCAAAATAACTCTGTCATTGCCTTATCATGGTGAACTTTTTCATATTAGATGTATATGCCATATTTTAAATTTAATTATTCAAAGTGTATTTACTGAAATTAAACCCATGATAGAAAAGGTTAGAACAGTTGCTTATATGCATACTACTTCTAAACAAAGACTTAAAAGATGGAAACAAATGTGTAAAAGAAAAAATATTAAGGCTAGACTAATTCCAAAAGATATTGACCATAGGTGGAATTCCACCTATGCAATGTTAAGTGTAGCTATAGAATATAAAAAAATTATAAATTATTTTATAAATTATTTTGCTTCTAGTTCTAACTCTGGTAGCTCTTATGGAATAACTGAAGATGAATGGATAATTATATGTAATTTAAATGAGATGTTACAAGTTTTTTTATAATGCTACTATGTTATTATCTGGTTGTTATTATCCAACTATTACTTTAGCTGCTTTACAAAATTTAAATATTCAAAAAAATTTAACAAATATCGTATGAATGATACTTTTGGAAGTATAATTTTTCAAATGGAGAACAAATTTAATAAATATTTTAGGCATATTCCTCATATTTTTGGTTTGAGTGTTCTTATTGATTCATGTTTGAAGGATATTAGCCTTCGAAGTTTGTTACAATCATTGTATGGTAGACAAGTTATAGAGTTAGATAATGGATCCAACATTACTGCTGTTAGCCCTTATGTTTTGATGATGTTCTTACAACCACCATTATCGGTACTAATGGCTTATTGAGTGGAAATGTAGTAAAATCATTTGTCAAGCTCGTTAGTGCCATTAATGGAGGATGGATGGAATATATGCTACAACGAAGATATCCAAAGGAGGAGGAGGCCAAGAGATGAAGCAACGCTATTTCAAGAACGTCAAATTCGATTAAAAGCTTCATCCGATTCAAGCTATATCAAAGCTCAAGTATATTGCTCTCTATATGAGGATATTAGCTTTCTTTTGTTTTTCTCTCTAGTGCTAGAATGTAGGCAAAGAGTTACTGAGTTTACTTGAAGCTATTGGGAATCACACACACGTTTTTAAACTTGTGCTTTTAAGCGTTTTTCACAAAATACTATTTTTCACAAGTTTGAGTACCTATCTGCAAAATTCTTTTTCCAAGCAGTTTGTTTTTAGTATTAAAAACATTTTACAAAGTTTCAAAATTTTCAGAGGTCAAATGAATATTTTGGAAATATTTCAACTTGGTCAAATAACCTATTTTCAAAATATGTCAGAAATCGGTCGACCGGTCCGGTCGACCGATCTGATGACCTTTCTTCACTATGTCTCCAGAGTGTCGTCGGTCGACCGATACGGTCGACCGAATTTCTCAACCCTTAATCGGTCGACCGTACCGGTCGACCGATGAGTCTCTGGATGTTTTGTCAAAATTCCTTAGCTGCTGGCGGTCATGTTTTGTCAAAACTCCTTAGCTGCTGGCGGTCGACCGATTTTTTCGGTCGGTCGACCGAAGGTATTTTTCGGTCGACCGATATTTTCTTCGGTCAACCGAATTTTGCCTCTGTTCAGCCGCGACCGACTTTTTTAAAACGGTCGTTTGCCTCGAACCCTGTGCTTTCACTTGTTAGTGATTGGCACAGTCTGTGATGAGGGTCTGAAGAAGAGATTATTATCTCATTTGGGTAGATTTGTTTTTGTTTTAAAATGATTTAAACTTTCCTATAAAATCCCCAGACCTCTTCTTCTTCCTCTAAGCCCTAACGTTTGAAAACCAGAGAGCTTTTTCTGTTTCCTGAGAAAATTTTCAAAACTCTGTTTTTCTTTCTGTTTCAAGTGTGTTTCACTTCCCAGCTTCAGTACTCTTCTCTTTGCTATAGGGGCTTTTGTAAAGAGAGGTTCTTGCTTGTTTTTCTTCTGCTGCTGTGTGGTTGAGATCTGTGGAGATCTACTGTGAGGGAGTGTGATCTGTGAGATCAAACTGTGTAGTGAGAGAGAGATCTTGTGGGATCGCTGTGTAGACGAAGTTCCGGCTTCCAAACCGGATGTGTTAGTGGATTTCTCCTCGAGAGTGGGGAGCGGGGACGTAGGTCAGCGGGCCGAACCTCGTTAACACATCGCGCGTCAAGGATAACGATTCCTAACTCTATCTCTTTCTATTTGATTGCACTTCTGTTTTGTGGTTTGCTTGTGCTGAGTTTTAAATTGCATATTAGAGCCTCTTGACCCTAATCACCCCCCCTCTAGGGTCCAACAATTACAATTTGACGGCTTTCAGAAGACTATAATTTGAAGACTTTCACATAGATCAATGAAGGTTACAATCTGACAACCTTCATAACAACTGATGAAAGCTCTAATTCAATAGCTTTCATAATCAATGTCAGAAGTTACAATTTGACGACTCTCATACGTCAAGGAGCCAAGGTGAAGATTACAAGATGACGATCTTTGTAATGCTCTAGCAAAGAGACTACAAATTAGAACACAGAGGTCCTCCCTACGTTCCAAGACCAAAACACAGAGGTCATCCCGGTGTTCCAAAATCAGAATGGAAGGGTTAGACCCGCAACTTAAGCTCCAAACACAGAGCTCGTGGTGTAGGCGTCAAAAAATGCTTACAGACATCCAAATACCACTCAAGGCAAGCCGCTCTCTTAATCAGAAGGGAATGATTCAAAGGAAGCGAAACAACATGGAAGAACATCACCTCTCTTCACCGGCACTAATTTTGCTTATTGGAAGGCTAGGATGAGAATTTACCTTCGTTGCATAGACCTTGACATTCTAGAGCTCATAGAAGAGAAATATGAAGAAAAGTCCAAAGTCGGGAACATGACCGATGGAGAAAGGCACCTAGCTAATCTCAACGCTAAGGCTATGAACGCCTTAATTTGTGGTCTTTCCCCTAATGAATATAATAGAGTTTCCACGTGTGCAACCGCATACGAAATTTGGCAAAAATTATGTGTCACACATGAAGGAACACCCCAAGTTAAAGAATCTAAGATTAGTGGACTCATGCATGCTTATGAGCTATTTAAAATGCTTCCTAATGAATCCATTGATGCTATGTTTTCCCGTTTTACTAATATCATCAATGAATTACATGGTCTAGATAAGCAATTATCCATTCAAGAGATGAATTACAAGATACTTCGCTCCTTGACTCCGACATGGGAACCCAAGGCTACGGCCATTGAGGAAGCTCATGACCTCACTACCTTAGCTCTTGATAGCCTCATCGGAAAGCTCAAAGTGCATGAGAAGAAGCTCAAGGGGAAGGAAAAGGAGGAAGTGTCATCACGCGAAGTTGAGGAGCCGTCACCAAAATTGAAGACCATA